AATAAACGTAGCTTAATTGATATAAACAATTTTTTATGAAAACTTTGTAAGAGAGGTGGGTTTTGCACTACGCGGAATATTATGAAACTTTTTGAAACTAAGTGATATAGTATTACTATTTATTTTTCTACCTAATACAATTTATGGAATAATCAAAAAAATTGTAAAGCTGATCATGTTTGGGCCCAAAATTGGAGAAGTTTCGGTAAGCCGATTGAGCTCAACATTCAAAATCTCATCTCAAAGGCCCATCTCAAAAACCATATTCGCAAAAATTTCAATTCAATATCCCTACCGAATTCTGATTGTCTAACTTTAATTCTGCTACACTGTCGACCTTAGCGGCGAGTAAGGATCAATTGGTAAAAATCAAACTCCCAGTATTAGACTCAATTTTGGGTGAAATTTGTATATTGATTTCTTTTTTGTTTAGTAATATTTATTTTTTCAATATTTTTATTGTTTAAATTAATATTAAAATATGCTTTATGTTAGGTTTACTTCTGAATTAATTTTCATATATACTTTTATGTTAATTGATTAACAAACTTCACAAATACAATAACAACATTATGAAATACCAAACATGTGTATAATATGGACATACACACATATATGGTATAGATCAGGGCTGTCCAAAGCACGACCAACGGGCCTCATGAGGTTCCCTGTTAATATTTTTGCGGCCCGCGACATGTTTCTAATCTACCACAATTAGATAAATTTTTTTTTGTTATATTTTAGTCACATAATATTATTTTATATTTATGATATCCCAAATGAATAAATTAAAATATTTTATATATATGTATATAAATAACTTATTACACATCACGTTAATTTACTTAATTTACAAAGACTCTAGTATATATGTTATATCTTTTTACAAGTGGTTCAAGAAACTCGTGTCCAGTTCCGTTTGAGCTTTCATAATGGAAAAACTCAAACGAGTAGTGTGGGAATTACGTGTTTTGTTTTTATTTTGCATAATGCATGAATCCTTTCACTTCACTTACTCACGCAGCCAGTTCTTCATCACTATAAGTTTATATATGTATGTATGTATGTATGTATGTATGTATGTACATATGTATGTACGTGTATGTGTGCATAAGTACATTTAAATTAACAAACAAATATTTATTTGAAGCATATTAGTTTTTTTTTTTTATTTGAAGCATATTAGATTTAGTTTTTTTTTTTTGGATATGAGAATACTAAGTATTTGCTTGGCTATCAATGCAACTTAAAGAATAAATAAAAATATCAACAACAACGAACAAATCACTTGATTGCGAGTACCAGATAAAACGAATAAAATAAGGAAAATTACCGTTACGTTTAAAAATTTTAAATAGGTTTTTGAAGCCGAAATCAATATTAAAAAACAAACCCGATAACCAATTTTTTATGACGTGAGAAACGTTCTAAGCAAAAGAAAAAGAACAAGAAAACATTGTTTAGAAAAATAATAAACAAATGGACTATATATCAGAGGTGTACCCAAGCTCTTCATATAAAATTGTAGTTTTGAAAACATATTTATGTAGGTACATACATATATTCATTAGATGACATTCGTACATACCATATTATTCACAAATCTCCTATTAACTCAATATTATCGATGAACTCAAGTTTTTTTTGTGAATATTTGTATACTCGAATCAAGTACTGTACTCACATAGGTATATGTTTTCTAGTGTGAAATCAAAGTATCAGGAAATAACGTCTGTTTAAAGTTTTTCAACAGTTTTAACTGAACAGATTTTATCATAATTTCAGTTGACCTACGGTTTCATTACAGAAGCGGTTTCATTATATACATACATACGTAGAATCATAACGTATTATTATTTGAAAGCACAACGTTTCAGAAAATAACTTCAAAATAAAAGATTTGTCCATTTCTAGAATTTGGACTCTAATTTCTTCTGACAACGCATCACTTCAAACTCAGTGAAAATACATACATTAGCAAATGATGATAACCGACCACCTTATGTATTCCTTCAACACACTAACTAATAAGAATATTTGGCTCTAGTCGTTCGAATCATTGTTTGCTATATTGAAGTATTGAACAATGGTTCTAATAATTATAACGCCTAATTGCGTAACCTCCCTAAAATTAACTTCGCTATTGTTTTGCTTCGAAGCACGGCGGATTGGAATGTTGATATAGTATTAAGTCCACCATTCACTCGCACATAAATTGAATCTCAATAAATTAAATTTCAATTAATTAAATTCTCAATTCTAATAGCGGATAGGCGTTATTAGAAAAAACTACAAAGATTTCAATTAGATGAGTGGATCTATTTTTAGATGTCTTCGAAAGTGACTTTGGTAATAAAACAAGGTAAAATAAGGTAAAAAAACCAAATATAATTATACTATATAAGTTTTACTGAGACGAGTACTACCATATATATATAGACTACTGCGATCTATATAGACTACTGTTTTCTGTTATATTAGCAGTTGAACTTCATTTTTGATTCAAGTGGAATATAAAGTGAAATATTAGTTGTTACCACATAAACAGTTAGCACCTCTTGTTGCAGATATTTATGCATAGACTTAGCCAGAGTGCTAAGGAACTACAAATGCTACCCGACTTAACACAGCTCAATAATCGGAAAGATTTAAACATTTAAATAGTGACACTCCAATAAGTCAAATGCGCTTCTGATTTCTTGCTGGCCGAAATAACTGAAATTCTTTTTAGTACTATGAGAACGATATTTCAGATATACCATCCCTCTTACCTAATTTAAAGCCCACATACTTTATCAATGTTTTGACATAGAAAAGCGTATCGACTTTACTTTATATTTCCTTAATTATTGTCTTTTATCTAAGATATGTTAATAGCAGTAGAGCAGCAGCAATGCATAGAAGCTCCATTTAATAGTGAACCCTCGTAAGTTCTTTTGAAATATGTCACTGTGCCTCAAGAATATTAAGGTGCACAACAACACAATTAGCGTAAATATGAAGGTGAATGCAAATTTCAAAACGAAAACGAAACTGAAATTAAAAAATATAAGTTCTTCTTTCCAACAATCCATGTACCCGTAACCTCTTATTAGCATGACTATTGAGTGCCACACAATGCTATTCGTCACGCTAGGCGTCAGGCGGACCAACAAGCAACTTGCGATATGAGTCTTGAAAGAGGCCGATGCCAATGCGGCGAGCATATGCACTCGCAACTGTGGCCATGCAGTTTTTTGGTTCTATCTGCGTTCAGCGCTACACTTGAGCGGGGAGACATAGATGAAAGGAATGCAACGCTTTACGCAGTGCGCCACACTGATGATATCAGGAGCTAAACCTTTGTTTTTCTCTCCACAAGACGTTCATTAATCAAAGGAAAGAATAGTTTTCAATGCCATTTTACGCATAAACGCGGTGTTCGCAAGTTTTGATCATGCCGGTCGTGTTCTTTTTTGCTCTATATGTGTTTCTAATCACTGCAAGTGCTTTCCACTTCAGTGAATAAGGACATTTCCTAGTTATCTATAAATATTTAAGAATTTCTTTGACAATATACATAAATTAGCTTGTACGGACTGTATTTTTAAAGGGAAATACATGAGCATTTTTAAAAAATAGATACTGTAAGAATATCGGATATAGTACCGTAGATATATGTCTGTTTTAGTTATTTTAGTTTTAGTTATTGTCTCAAATGGTTAAATATACTTACTGCTGTACTTCTTTCTTAGTGGAGCATAGAGAATCAAATGATTCCTATGCTATGGTGACTTTGCAATAGTCAAAAGTTGATATTGTAAATAATCAGGTACTTACTGATCAAATTAATGTAATGATTACACTGACCCATACAAGTCAACACACAATATCCAGTTCTGCTAGTTAAAGAGTTCAAAAACACGGTAAGGAAAATTAATGATGTTTTGATTTGTGGAAATCTTTTTATAAGAATGTCTTACGCAAAACATTCCTAATCCTATATAAAGTTAAAAAGTTATTCACAGAAACCAAAAAAAAATAACATTTACGTATATCATGCAAATAGAATCATATTCATCTAAGTATTAAATATAATTATGATTATTAAATTTATTCTATAACGGATTCGTATAAGTGCCTAGAATCATTCGGTTATTGAAGAAACCATATTTTCAACCTCAATCGATGCTATTCAAAACATAGCTTTATGGTACATAGTTTATTTTTCAATATAGTATGTACTTCGTATAGATTCTGTTCTTCATATAAAAGCACACACACAACGGAAAAATATGTACTGACGGATCGTGTTTCGGTTACGTATAGAATTTGTTAAGATTTTGGGAGAACGGAGAGGAGAGAAGTTTTGCACATAAAATTCAAATAAATCTTACTTACAAATAGTATAAATATTCACATATAATCAAATAATCACACCATTAAGTATTCTAATGAAGAAATTAAAGAAAATAAAAAAAAACTTTGGCTGACAAATTATGTCAGTTTTACAATGGTTTGCAATGGCCGTCAGCACCCTTTCTCCTGACTTCCGCCAAAAACCCTCCCAATATATCTCTCCCTTTATTTCGAAAAGTGGGACTCTGATCCCTCTATCATCTCTCTCTATAACCGCGGCTCTCGTGACTCTAGTCACAGACTGTACCCTCTTTATTTACATGCATACTTAATTGCTTAGATAAACCTAGCCCGCTAACTTTTAAGCCTCTAGTTCCAATCTCTCTCCCTTTATTACTGGAATGAAGTTTACACAATGCTGTGGAAATTTTCTCCATTCAATCTCAAAAGGTGGTTTTAGTGGGTTCAAGTCTCGTACTCGTAGTTCGTGGATTTCTTCTAGTGTTAGGATCAGGTTTGTACTGACAATCCCGTTAAGCTGACTTTTCTTAAATGATCGATTCCCGATACTTTCTTGGCAGAACATATATGCATGTAGAAATATATACTGTATATGGACATACCTCAAACACAATCTGAAGGCAACACATTTCTTTAATTTTCGATTTTAATTTCTTTAGTCAAAATAAAACATGACAAATCATGAAAAATAAGATTGTTGTTTACTGTCTAAAAACATATCGATTGTGACCGTTTAATTGTAGACTTTTTTTCACAACAACGTTCACAAGCAGGATCTCCATCAACTTCTTGGCGAACCCAGTTGATAAAATAAGTTTTATTTATTACCGCATGAATCTTCTTATTAGATATGTTATGTCTCTTATTTCGTTTATGGAAAAGATGACACAAACAACGGAAAATAGAGAATCTACTTGAGTGACGAACTCTAGCAGATTTGGTGGAAAGCTCTTTATAAGCAATACTTGTGATTTTTTTGGCACTTTCAGAGATAACTTCTTCATGTATATAATTAAATTCGTCCTCGGAATGATTTTGACATATGCTATTACTTCGTTTTGTTTGCATTTTAAGCTGGTCAGCTGGAGTTATTACACTTGAAGTGACTGGGTTTTCCTTTCTCTCTCTACTGGCAAGACTTAAGCTTGAAGCAGTAACTGGAGTAGTTGTAATGTCAATGTTCGATTCTGTGCTAATCCTATCATTGAAATCTATTATTTCATTTGTTAGATGTTGTCTATGAATAACCCTGTTGAAGTCACTCCTGTCAAGTGAGTTTATACTAGAGGTTTTGATTACTTCACTGTAGTTTGGCGTAAGGCATATTTTAGAGTTTTCCTTCGACTTAGCTCCAGTAGAGACTGTACCCTTAGAGACCCTTACCTCTTTAGGCGATTTCTTCTAAATTTAAAAATAAAAAAATTGGTTATATGTATGAAGTTATGAAGTTATTAGTTATTAGTACTAACCTCAACATCATTTAAGGGTGCATCTAATTTCGATTCTATATGTACAATCATATCTGCAGTATAGAAATTTTCATTTGATGAATCATGAACATGCTCGAAGTTATCTTTCGATTTATAACAGGGCGGGTTGCTTGTTTTCGCCTCACTTAATATTTCTTCATCGGCATCTATATTTGCTGGGACTCGCATGTAATTAACTTCTTCAAAACTATCATCAAACGTAAGAGGTGGATCCCCATTCAGTTCAACATTTGCTAAACCGTTTGAAGTTTCCACATTTCTGCTTTTTGGAAAATTTTTATCTGAAGATTTATATGATGACCCTGTTTCAGGTGAGATGGAGTTTCGCTTACTTAAAAGACTTGCTTTCTTCATTTCATTCTTTTTTTGATACGCTCCTCGAAATAACTGTTTACTGCGGACTTGGTATTTGTTTTAAACTCCAATGGTAATACTTCGGTTGTTACGAACAGACTGAAAGATTCAAAAAATTTTCTTACTTTTAAAGTGTTGCTTAAAAAAATAATCTTACTTTAGATTTAATTTTTCCTAATAGCATAGGCTATTAAATAGGCGTACTAAATAATTTTGAAAGACTGAATTTTTAGCTACTATGAATTTCTACAAATTCTACTTTTCTTGATTTTAACAAATTTTTGAAAGTTTTGAAACAAAATCAAACATTTTAATTTTCGTTTGGGATTTCTCAAACTAAGTAAATGATATCTTTATCATGGCTACAAGATTAACTAGTGAAAACACGTTTATTCAGAAAATTTTTTGACTGCTCCAATAGATGGATGTACGGATGTGTAACTTACAGCAAAGCCTCAAATACTCAAATAAAGCAATTACAGATAGCACAAAATCTGGCTTTAAGAAGACTAATTAAGATTCCTTGGTATACTAGAACAACAGAGATGCATAGAGATCTAAGAATCGACTCAGTGAAAAAGTATATCAAGGACAGAGTCCTAAAATTATTCACAAAAATTGTCCACCTCAGGACGCTCAGGAAGATATGTTGATCTACGGTCCTTCATCAGTTAGAGAATAAATAAATGATAATGTTTCAAGTATGGCTAAAGTTTAGTGTGGGGTAGGGATAAGCCCCCCAGCCACAACAGAGTAAAAGTGCGCAATAGCACTAACTCAAATCACTACAACAACAAAAGATGGATGTTACAGATTTCGTTGGAGGTGTGAGAAATATTTTTTTAGCTGATGTGAACAAGGATTTTTATGTGTCTATATTTTTCAGTTTTGAGCTATCTACGCCCTTCTTTGGTTTTTATCTTTCTAAGTGTTAACATTCATTCTCAATTTTCAATCGTTTTTTTTCTGTTGCACTATTAAGCTCTGGAACTGGTGTTACAAAAATATTTGGACGGGTACTCAACATTTATAAGTCTCAACATTTGTGCTCTGAGATGTCTCGAATCAAGAAACAAGTAAATAAGAAATAAAGAGTAAAGAATAAAGAATTTCTTCATTTCAAAGTTTAAAGCTTCTAAACTTAATTCCAAATTACTTGCACAATATATTTTTGTTCCACAGGTTCAATATCCTGCTTATGTGACAGGATTATGCATATTTTTAGATTATCAATTATTTTATATGGAGACATTGTGCAATAACCTCGAAGGAGTAATTTAGCGTTTGGATGATTTTGATTTCAAATCATTTTCATATAAAAAAAATTATTGCACATGCAAAATTTAGATAAATGGTATGTATTAAACCATATTCCATCTGAGATCTCTTAGTTGATGTTTTATTCTTTTCTTTTGTAGTTGTTTTTTTAAGAGCTATACTTATAAATATGCTATTTATTTAATCATTTTTATAGTCGATCTAATATCTAACGAAATAATATATATGTGCCAAAACAGAGAGTTGGATTAAATTTGTGCGTAACTTCATTTGACCATCTAGTCATACAGGCCTCACTAATGATTTATGTGACATATTTAGTCACATTTTATACGATGGATTTTTATACTTTGGATTTAAAAAACAAAGAATTTGAGAAAATATTATTGCGATTATCTACCAATCTTTATTATATATATACAGGTACCTAAAAATATGCTTTACTGTGTGAACAGTAAACGTGTGAACATACAGTAGTCGACAATATACATAGGTGTTCTTAGATGAAGGGGAAGTCATAATAATGCATATGTGACCATAATGTACTTTAAAGCAAACGGTTGCCCATTTACTTATATGGAAAAATGCATATGACGCACGTGTATCCCCAAGGAATCATGAATCGATAAATTCCGATTGTTTGCAAATACTTGTTTGTTTGTCAGACGTTTTTACAAAAGCAAGAAGAAAAAAACCGATGATAATAACTTTGGTGATAATCATAGTGCTGTAAGCTCATGCATGTCCACGCACATTTTAAACAACATCAAATTTATGTAGGAACGATCTTTCTTTTCTCAAACATGAAGATTTTTGACGTTTGACATGATAGACGTTTGAAATGATTAATACCTTTTTTTTGGGTTTTACGACTAAATGGAAAACGGAAAAGTACATGTGAATAATTAAGGTGAATACTTTGAAAAACACTACAGCCATTTTTAATCGCAAGTATTTTTTTATATATTCTATATACATAAATAATACCCACTCAATATAGTCTTTACTGTAATAGTTAACATAGTAATAGCAAAAACATAGAAATATAAAGACATGTAATTTGCCTCTGTTAAAAAAATCATGAATTCTGAAAAGGTACACGCAATGGGAAAAACATGTCTGTTCAAACGTATAAACAATCGAACTTATTATTTTATGTATGATCAATGCTATTTTGTTAGTGAAGTCAGCAATCAAACCAATAGCGAACATGTTGTATTTTGCTTGGACAAAATCATATAGAAAAAACTCTAATATCAGAGCAAATGCACACATAGCTTCTAGCTCATGCGTATGTAAGTTTCTTGGTAAATTTTTTCTACTCTTCTTTTTATTGCACACTTACTAAATATATATGTGCATGGGTAGGTGAGACAATATTTTTGAATGTGATGCTTGGATTTTGTTTGTGTGCTTTTTTTTTCTTAAAATATATGACTGGCTTCGTGTGCATGAAATGCACAAGTCTTCCAAATTATTTAAAATTTGATTTTTGCTGAAATTTTATACTAGCTTCATACTAAAATATGATGTTTGCCTATGACATGATGCGAAAACACCGGAGTAGCGCAACCACAGTTGTTATTAGTGTAAATGCTCTTAATATATTTGGCTGTCCAGACTCGGCTATGCCATACAGTAACACTAGTTTCATGAAGAGTATTCATAAACACCATATTATACAATAATTGATTATGCTTTATATATTAAGTTTTTATTATTATATTCTTATATTAAATACAATAGAATTATTAACTAAATTTTATTACTTAAATTATATAGAATACAACTATAAATCTTAGATAACTAATTATACATTAACTTAAATTAACTAGAACTATTAACTATATTTAATTGCATATTACTTATAACTGTTTAAAATGAGTTTATTTATTTAGGGTGAATATTATTTATTGTTAATTTTTCTAATCATTCATAAATATTATTAGACTAATATTTTTACATAAATATAAATTTTTACAATTTTTATAATTTACTTTTAAATTTTGCATTATCTTGGCTACTTTTTAGTAGCCACTTTGAGTTCTTATATAATAGAACTTTTATTAAGAAGTCCAACAAACTTTCGCGATGGCTACCGCACATCGGCTCCTCAAACCAATTTTCGCTTTGTACATTTTTTTCCATTTCTTCTTTTATGCTATTTATTATAATTTTTTTAATGCCATTTACATAATAATACTTTTCAAATATTTTTTTAAAAATTTCAAAATGTAAAACGCACATTTTATAGAGATCGTCAGAAAGATTTTTTAGTAAAAGGTGATCACCTTTTACTTTCTTTTTCAAAAAAGAATACCATTTAAATGGTATTAAAGAAATCTTAGCAAACACTATAAAAAAAAGAAATAAAAAAGTTTATAACAATAATTGATTTAAGGATCCGATTTACGGGTGCCACAATGAAATTTTGTTAAAAAACTTTTCAATAAAAGTGCTAAATCAAACTGGGTACTTAAAAAAAATAGTGTAAAATTTAACAATAAATTAAAGAAATTGTAAATATTTGAACTTCTGTGTAAAACATTAACTTAATTATATTAATTAATACTTTCAATAAGTTATATCAAATTAATTTTTATTTTTAATAACTTTATGATATCTTCAATGCTATTTAAATGGCAGTACTGAGGGTTTTTTAAACCTAAAAAGTTGTTAATATAGTGCAAAATTTACCAGCATATTAAAAACAATTGCAAAAATTTGAATTTTAATAAAAAATATACTATTTATAAATGTTTAGAAAAATTAGCAATGAAACAAAAATATTCACCCTAAATAAATAAACTCATTTTAAACAGTTATAAGTAATATGCAATTAAATATAGTTAATAGTTCTAGTTAATTTAAGTTAATGTATAATTAGTTATCTAAGATTTATAGTTGTATTCTATATAATTTAAGTAATAAAATTTAGTTAATAATTCTATTGTATTTAATATAAGAATATAATAATAAAAACTTAATATATAAAGCATAATCAATTATTGTATAATATGGTGTTTATGAATACTCTTCATGAAACTAGTGTTACTGTATGGCATAGCCGAGTCTGGACAGCCAAATATATTAAGAGCATTTACACTAATAACAACTGTGGTTGCGCTACTCCGGTGTTTTCGCATCATGTCATAGGCAAACATCATATTTTAGTATGAAGCTAGTATAAAATTTCAGCAAAAATCAAATTTTAAATAATTTGGAAGACTTGTGCATTTCATGCACACGAAGCCAGTCATATATTTTAAGAAAAAAAAGCACACAAACAAAATCCAAGCATCACATTCAAAAATATTGTCTCACCTACCCATGCACATATATATTTAGTAAGTGTGCAATAAAAAGAAGAGTAGAAAAAATTTACCAAGAAACTTACATACGCATGAGCTAGAAGCTATGTGTGCATTTGCTCTGATATTAGAGTTTTTTCTATATGATTTTGTCCAAGCAAAATACAACATGTTCGCTATTGGTTTGATTGCTGACTTCACTAACAAAATAGCATTGATCATACATAAAATAATAAGTTCGATTGTTTATACGTTTGAACAGACATGTTTTTCCCATTGCGTGTACCTTTTCAGAATTCATGATTTTTTTAACAGAGGCAAATTACATGTCTTTATATTTCTATGTTTTTGGTAATAGTATTACTGTTGTCACTGTCACTTTAATTGTATTTTATATTATTATACTACACAAAAACGTGTATTTCTATAATTTGCTATTAATTATCATTACTTTTTCACTATTAATTTAATAATTTAATTAATAAATAATTATTTAATTATTTAATAAGAGTCTTATGGCTTAAATTTGCTTAGAATAAAATGTAAAGCATATTTTCAGGTGCACGACTTCTGTTACACTCGCGTTTGGATTACAAATGCTTACCCCTTTGAACGAAATTATTTAACTTGGTTACCGTTTAAATTAATTCACTTTAAAACTACTGCATTTATGAACACAACAACAACAACAACATCATTAGCTGA